GTTTAAATATCAAAAAATCCTTAACACTTGAGAATTTATTCTTGACCATTCTCATATCAAAATTACTTGCGAAAGAAGTCTAGGAAAAAAGATATTGGGTTTTGAATGTTTCGAGGTTAAGTACTAACATATTGTTAATGTTTTGTTTGAAACTAGATGGCGTTGTGTGTCAGATAGCCGAAAATATTATTTTCATTATTATTACAGTATATGAAATAAAAAAAATAAAAGCATAACATCTATTCGAGTTTAACACTAAATTAAACAAAAATAAAATAACAAACGTGGTGAGTCCGGAACTAGACAGGATCTAAACCACAGATTAAGAGATATGTACTAAACGGCGACGTATCGACATTTTGAAAATATCGATGTATGTCTATTTATGTGCCGTTATCAATGACAATGTATTTTTCTCATCACACTGTGTAGTGGAAAATAACGTAACTATATTCTATTTCTTTAGTGTGTTTAAAATCGTTTAAAGAGAGTCAAAAATATTTTAAATCATTTCTAATTATGTTGATTCAGTCACTCTACCGTGCGAGTGAAGACATAGGCAGAAGCAAATTCATAATCATAATAGTGAACCTTCGGTAAATATTTCAGCCAAAGGTATAAGAATCGATTATCGATAAATTGTTCCATAATATAATATTGCCACCACGCATCCCTAGTCAGTTATACGTGATGGCGAATCTGACATTACGTACTTAGGTCAAATAAAATCTTCAAAAATATCTTATCTCTTATAAGACTTATACAACACATGGTGGTGTAATGATAAATCATAGAAAAAAATTTGATTAAGTTTACTGTGACTCGATTTTTTAAACGCTTAAGTTTTAGGTAAATATGTTTTTGCCATTGTTCTTTATTATATGCCTGTGCCGATCTACAACCGCCCGTTTCCAAGGGGTTGAGCCTTATGAGAAGACAGGGCAAACAAACTCACGGCCGCTCTTTTTTTAATTAACAGATACATACAATGGCATCATTAAATACATCATTGTTTTGATGTGTGCCAGTATGTAAGTTTTAAGGACTAAAAGGTAAAGAGACAATGAAGAGAAAACAAGATATAGAAAAAAGATGGAATAAAAAGAAAACGAAGTAAAACATAAAGAAATAAAAAAATAAATAAAAGACTCACAGCCCATATCATATTTCCACTATAGCCAGTGACAAAATTAATAAATGAATCCCAAGCATTCTTGTCTTCTATGTAATCCACAATTGAGAAACAGGCTTTATAACATAGTTTACGTTTTATTGTGCATTTAAATTTGTTAAGTCGAACATTTGACGAATCGGACATTGGTCGTAGCCTAGCCTTCCGAAACTGAGAATTTTTTAATTGAACCAAACAAACAAACTATTCAACTTTATAATATTAGTTTAGATTTATTCAGGAATGTTATAGAAAAAAATCTGTTGATTGTGGTATTGATTGAGTAAACTGAGTTTCAAGATACAAGTCTGAGTTCAAAATGAGTAAACCTGACGAAAAAATTAAACACTTAATTCAAAAGCTTCTTCTCTAAAATCTATGTTCAACTTTATAAATAAAATCTTCTTACATAACATACGAAGTGAAATGACATTATGTTTAAAAAAAGTTTCTTACAATAAATATTAATTTATTAGTTAGCCTATTGCTTTTGTAGGTCATAGAGTAACACATAAATATGGCCACGTCATTATAATTTGTTTACAAAGTACTTATAACTATAATATTTTATTCATTACCTATCATTTTCTGAAATAAAATGTATAAGTTTTTGTCATTTTTATTTGATCAACAAGGAGGAAAATATTGAGAATTCACTGCATTGAGTTAGAGCGTGGATGAGAAGAATAGAGCTAGAACCTATTAAATAAAAAAAGAATAATGTTCAATGGCAATATAGGTATGTTTGGCTAAGATTTTTTTTTAAATATTGCTGTAGTTAAAATAGAGTTGGACAAGGAAAAAAGTATTTGAAATAGTCGGGTCATTTTGGATAGACATGAGTTTTTTACGATTTCATAAGATAAGATCGAATGCATATATAAGTTTAATATAACCATATGTGACTACAAATAATCATGAAAGATGTAGGCAGCGGAATACCAGAGAGTTGCATTTTTCAAGCAGTTCCAAAAAATGGCGGTGGCCTCATCTCCGATATAACAATGTAATTATCCAGAGTGAGTAGTACTTTATAGACACAATAGGTTCACAAGGCTGTGAATGTTATTGTTACTGACACAGAACCGGTATCTTTCATTTGTGGCGGAATAATGGTGTACTTAGGTCATATCGATATTGTAAATTGATGATATTAGTTTTTGAATGAAACAGAATAGCAAAGTTTATCGCATTGTCATTTTAATGGCCCAAAGTTATTTTTATTACTGAAGAATATTCCAGAATGTTTAAAAGTTATGCTAAAGTTTCTAACGAATGGGTACTACTGACAGCTAAGTTTTCTTTAAAAAAATACCAAATGAAGTAATTTATTTCGTACCTACCTATCATTAGTAAAGTTTATACCTGAGTTTTATCGTGGTTTTATTCCATCAGTGTGGTGACGGATTTAGAATACGGAGTGTCACCACCCCTATTTATCCCCGTGGGTGTCATAAAAGCCGACTAAGAGAGCAAACTACGCAGGACAACATCACTTCAAAGGGAAGGAAAACTTGAAACAAACCTAAGGCCAAACCCAGATGCCTTGGTCCAGCAATTGACTACTAAAGGCTGTTGAAGATGATACATGAGTGTGTACACTAAAAAGTGTAAACATTATTTACATAAACAATTAAAAAAAATTAAATTCGAATTATCAAAACGGTCGCAGAGTGACCAACAATCTTCCCAGGAACAGGCTCCACGTTTGACTAAAGCAAACAAAAAGTTCGAACCGACCCTCTAAAAAATAATCCATCATGTTTTAGCTAAACCAAATATTTGTTGAGAAATTTTCGAAAGATAAAAGCGTGCGGGCTCTGTGCATGTCTAATCTCAACACTTATCGTAATGATGTACTGGTGAACAGCTGACGACCGTTATCGTACTCACAGTACAATAACATAGAGCTTTTAGATAACACGATACGATTTTGTATTGTAGTTTTACTTGAGGGAGGGGGGAAGGGACTATATATTTAACTCTTAGTTTTTCTACGTCATTATACTCCTGTATAAATATTTTTTTACAGTAGAGGGGGGACAAACGAGCACCCTTTGAGCCCCTACATAATCAGGGCGGACCTAACCTTCCTTACACGGAGAAAGCAACGAAATAATCACTTAACACCGGTTTTCTGTGAGGCCGTGCTATGACTCCGGCGAAGCCGGCCCATTTGTGCCGAAACATGGCTCTACCACGGAAGTAAACTTAAAATAAAAACAAAAATTCGTATTTCTACATATTGTTCTGATTAATTTTTTATATTGATTTTTGTGCTAATGATGACCCAGTTGTGTCAAGAATAAAGAATAGGTCTTCCTACATGTATTATATTGAACAACTAGCTGAGACCCGCGGTGTTACCCGCGTTTGTTGTTATAACCACGGGCAACGCCGCGGGGCAAAGCTAGTCTAAAAAAAATAGCCTAATTTACTCCTTATGTCATCAGCTACCTGCCAGTGAAAGTCCCGTCAAAATCGGTCCAGCCGTTCCAGAGATTACAGATTACAGACAGACAGACGTACAGAAAGACAAAAATTGTAAAAAATCTTATTTTGGCATATGTACCGTGTAAACATACATATGCATTTAGTAAAAAGCGGTTATTGTAATATTACAAACAGACACTCCAATTTTATTTATTTGTTTACATTTAATATTATAAGAATGTGACAGGCGTAACCCAGAGTTGAAATGACATCACTTTAAAAGGGCAAGATATTTTCTTTTAAAGTGTTCGTTATAGTTTTCAATATTTACATAGCCGTAGGAGAAAGAAAATAACAAAAAATGACTGACGGTATAAAGAATATCCTGAAAAGACTCTAGAATGAGAAATGGTAGAAGTACAACTAAGGATAGTGAAATAAAAGAGAAGTTTAAAATGTCGCAATTGAGTTCAGAAAGTTAGCTATATATTTCATTACATGAGGAGAGATTACTGCACTGCCCATTGAAATGTTTTAATACACAACTTCTTAATCTATCTTTAATTACATAAGACACTCTAAACTTAATTGAAATCATTGTGTTCTTTATACAGAATATATACGAGCATATTAAGCTTTTATCTTTTTATCATAAATGTCAAATATAAAAACGTCGTATCGGAATCGTATCGCCTAGAGCTTATTATCCATACTTTTCCACGTCATTCCTTCATGGGTTAAGGTAAATTAAGTTCTATTGCGTTTTTATAAAGTGAACAATGCAATGTCAAATTCAATTGCGTAAAGGCATGTGCACATCAGCTGTGCGATGCCAGAAACGATTAAAGTGAAGAACTTTTAATTTAGATTAGTAAAGTTGTTTTTCTGTAATTAACAGTAGTTATGTTGCCTGTGTTGATAATGTATGATGTAAATAGTGGTTAATATTCTTGTTGGATGGTTTTCAAAGTAAGTTTGAATTAAAAATAACTGTCATCATGAGACAATAAGTCAAACAGTAAAAAGTTTTAAGTTTATTAAATTATAAAAACACTTATATTGTGTCAATATTTATCGACTTCACACAATCTCTACACCAACCCGTCTGGCCAGTAGGCCTCTGGTGTAGTAGGCCATAATCTCCTTTCTAAGGAGAGACCTATGTCCAGCAGTGGGCTAGTAAAGGCTGTTGACGTGATGATGATGATGATGTGATGATAGCTAGAATCTTGCAACTACAATTTGTTTAACAAATGTCATGTTTAGAACAGCTCAATTGTAAATTAATAGTTTGTAATTTAGGTCATGTTGAAAAAAGAACGCACACTAACAATAATGTTATAAAATTTAATATTTGAATAAGAAAGACATTTTATATCTGTCTTTAAATCTAGGTTTAGTCTAACATTCCCACGGCTCCGAAACGCACGGGGCGGAACGCTGCTTTCAACGGTAGCGAGGCTTTGTTGTGTACTCGACTCCCGGACACAACACAGTTCAACACAATTTGCAACCATTGAGCCGCGGTTAATGCCTTCTCATTATTGTACAAAAACATAAACGTGTTAACATACGAACTGAAGTAAAATTAAATATTGACTTAATGCATACAATGCTTACAAATTATTTGTAATAAGCTGTTAAATACAAAAGTTAGAAAGAAAATAGCCCTGTATCTTTTCAATCAAATCTTTTCAAAACTGTATCTTTGATGTGATTATAATTAATCACGTTATACCTTCCTCATATCTTGCCATCTTTATTTTTGAATTATGTACTTCGAAAAAGCCCGAAAAATAAAATGAATTCGTTTATACTGGATAAAATAATATACTGTTTGTCACGATACAATATATTTATGTACTGTACTACTACATCTGTAGAACTACACTTTTCTTAGTCTTAAAAAGTTATTTAGTTCAACATATCTTTAAGTTGTCCCCGCAATCACTTTTCTTTTCCCATCTATTTTATTCCCGCATGTAATTTGAATAAAATAAATATAATATCCATAAGAGCGGAACTGCAAACACGGGTTTCATGTCGCTGGCGGAATGTTTTACAAATAGAAGATTATGTTGTGTCAGTAACACAAGCCTTCTCGTGTTTACTATGTATGGGGATAGTAATACTTGCCGACGACGGACGTGTATCGATGCAAGTAAATGTACTGTTATCATATGCATTGAATGAATATTACCTTTGCTACTAACTTTTACTGGCGGTTTGGCGCGTTAAAATGTTATTTTCATAAGCGCAAAATTTTTATTCGAAACAAACGTCTAATGGAGGGTCAGACTTTAAACAAAAAGACCGGCTGTTGACGTGGCGACACACCTCCACGGCATGTGTCCCCACGTTATGTGACAGTATATACTTATACTTATATATTTCTAAATACATACATATCTTAGATAAATTACACCCACACAGACAGAACAAATCATTGTGCCCATCACCCAATTATTTGTGGGTGGGAATCGGGTCAGGTATTGCGGTGTAACATTTATAAGTTTTCTTTCCTTTTAAACTCATTATTTATACAAAATAATAAAAAAAATGAAACATCTGAACGAAAGGAAAATTTGTCCTTTTCTGGTCCCTTGTATGTTGACAAATATCACCATGGCATGAATGAATAGCAAATCAACATGAAAAGAAACAAATATACCTTCGCATTTATAATATTGCTCGATTTTATTTCGCATAAATTGTTTATGCAGAAACCCTTTCATTCAGAAAATAACACTTTGTTCACGAGGAATAATACACACATTAATATCTAGATTAACGAAATGACATGATTGCAAGATGATCTTGCTTCTAGTCTAAAGGGAGCTTGAATTATACTTATCGATATATATCATAATATATAAAAAAGTTAAGTTGGTTTGTGTATGCTTCATAAACTCAAAAATTTCTGAACTAATTGAGCTCAATTTTTAATACAATATACAAACCGCTTCAAAGATTCTTTTCATCTATTTTTCCCGTAAGTTTTCTTCATCATTGCTCATTAATGCAACCACAATGTTCAATAGCGAAGCGTAGCAAAGTACAGCTAGTATTTAATAAATGTTAATCAATTTGAATAGCACAACAGTATCAAGTTTCCTTTTAATTTGATCTGAAAATAGTTCAATATAAATGCAAAATGAAATTCTATGTTTCATTTATTTCGAGGTAGACTAACTTGAACAGTTTAACCTTTTATCAATAACTGTATTCTGTAAAGTGCTTCGTATATTATTGCGTGGGCGAATATAGTGGGTGCACGCTCATATCCTGGCCATTCAATATTATTGTTTCATAATCATTTGTTTCTTCTATTGTTTATTACTAAATTAAGGATTAAATTTTCTGTTGACGTAATTTGCTGCTTTATACCATTTTCGTGCCTTAAATGTCTTACTTACTTCTGTCTATTTTATATTTCTTTTTTTTTATGTTTAAAAGTAGTAGTAGTAGTTCTAGTATTACCAGTCATCCAAGCACATCAATATTATTCATATTAGGATATTTTTAAAAATTATACTTTCAGCACAGGTGACCAAAACAGGTGTTATATAAAAATTGGTAGCGTGATGAAATGGGGTTTTTGGAATGTTATTTCAGTTTCAGTTTCAAAAGCTTTGTAAAAATTTCATAATTATTTATTAAATATGTTAAATACTTGTTGTAGAGCATTAAAATGAACCTTCCACTTTGCAACATTTTAGCGATCCAAACACATTCAATTTAAAAGAACAAATTATGGTAAAAGGAGCCGATATATTTACCGTTTATTGCCTGTTTATTGCACATGTGCCGCTAACGTATTCGAACTTATTACGATTGCCAAATGAAATTCAAGATCCCGATGCGTTTCGATATGTCGATTTGCTTATTAAAATTACACTTCGTTCTGTGCAATCGATTCTCGCGGCTGTTGTTGCCGGCAAAGTTGGTTAAAATTTTACTACGGCCGATTTGGTCACATTACGGGAGCTGAGGCGGAAAGATCTGATGTCCTGTTCCAGGAGCATCGATTGGAGCTTTTACGTGGTGTTAGGTGGATATGGACTCTCTTGCATTGTGCGTAAGGGTGTTTTTGCTTACGACCTAACTCACTACACCAAGGGAGTTAGGTCGTAAGGTTTCGGATCGGTGCGGGCTACACGCGGCCGGCCGGCAGCCGCAGTGCCACGCCGGTCGCCGGCACCACCGCTCGCGTCACCACAACTCCTGTTCGGGAACATTTGCTCGATAACAGGCGTCGCGTTGCGGTAGGTTTCGTATGACGAACGTTCGCCGAAGGTTTTGGCATGCGTGCGAGAAATAAAAGTGTAAAATCGAATAACCTAGTGTATCAAAGTGCAGATTTTTTGTACATAGCATATAATGAAGTTAGTGCATAGTTTAGTGATTGTGCGATGTGAATAAAAAGTTTTAAGCATTGGTTGGTTTAAAAAAACAATATCTTAGCTTTTATTTCCTCTTAAAAACAGAACAAAATTTAAGTTATAAATTGTGTTAAAATTTGCAAAATAATTAAAAGAAGGATAAATAAGTAATTGAATAGGTGCGAATAAGTTCCCGAATTTTGTTCTTAATTTAATTAATCTTGCAAACATTAACAAAATACGTCGCGAAAAAGTTGAATTTTTAAAACATTTTTTAACATATTTTCGTTTACATAACATTTTTTCGTTTATTGCTTTGACAATTATATTGGCAGAGGCTCCATGACAGAAATGTGATTATCTTGACGATTGATCTTAAACTGATTAGGTTTCGATTTGAGTTGGATGTCTGTGGTGTATTTTACTAATTAATTGGTTATTTGACGAAGGATCGGATGTTTACGATGTTCCGACAAGTTGGCTTATAAGCTTGAGGGCCCCTCGTTACCGAGATCTATTCAGATATGCTCCTTACAAATTAAATTGCTGAAGCACTCTTAGTTATTATATAATTTGGTTCTTAAATATTTTCATTTCGAAATTATAATGCCTTTTTAATTGGCAGCTTTATTACATTACTTAATATACATTGTTATGGATGAAGAGAATACAAGAATTGGATCATTGGTACTTACTTGAGTATTATAAATAGAAAATAAGTTCTAAATACCTATGTTTATCCTTGTAGTATAATAGTGTTATTATGTATTTTGTTTTTAATTGTTACCTCATCAGGAAATAATAACGATGACAATAATTGTCGTTTAATGTTTAGTTTTAAATTTAAAATATAAATTTGATTTTAGCTACTTCATTTTAATTTTAAAACGGTTTCTGTAGGTACGTACATATATACAGATTACTTTTAAATTTTCAATAGTAAACGGATGAAATGAAAACCGTGGTGTGTAGGCTATTATTAAGTGATACATCATAATTTGTATAAAAATGTCATTGCCTCCTCTTCATTTTAGGAGGCTTTCTGTACGTACGTTCTTAATTTTAAAATTTAATAGTAAACCGTCTAACTGAAAATCTTAGCATTTCTTATTATGTAGAAATAAATATACCTAACTGATGTCCGTGACTATATTTTCTAAAATAAAATAATTACTTATACCTACAGATATAATTTACGTAATACAACATGATTTTTCTCATAAATTTTAGAATATTTATTGCTAATTTTACTTTCGTTTCAGGTTTCGTTTCAAAGGTTCCAACATTGACCCTATAAAGTAAATGTTTTTCCGTTGGTTTATTACTCATTGAAAATAGTTTGACATTCGTATTTCGTATTCGCATTTTGTAACAGTTCGTGAAATCGTTTTTTTTTGTATGATTTGGTAATTTCGAATAATTACACGAAGTTGCTTTGCTTGGTTTTTTAGAGTTTGAAAACGTAAAACTGTACATAAACCTGTATGTATATAATATGTTTATATTAAAGATTGAGCCTTAGATGTAAAACTTATTCGTAATTTTATCAGTCATGTCATACGCTAATTAATATCCAGTTGATTTATAAGTAAGTATGCAATATGTCATAATGTGTCATATTTGAGATATATTATCTCTTGTAAGGGCGCCTGTACACCAGCATGGCAATGAATTACTTAAGGGATTAATCAGTTTTGAAAAATGTAGTTATCAGTGTCGTGGAAAGGTCTTTTTTCAGATCGTATGGCATCATGATCGTATAGTATGTTCTCGGGGTGACATTTCGGGCGAAGATATTTTTTTAAATCTTTTTTACACACAAACACATTATCATCAAAAATATGTTATTTTAAAGTTATTTTAAGGATATCATAGCGGTCCTGTGTACCTACCTTTACTATTAGAAATTCTCATAACGTTTATAAAACCCTTTTATATGACAAAATAACATTAAGAACATAACTTGAATAGTATTCATTGTACAAGATACAATGAATATTGTATCCTAAACGCCATGATTTAGAATTTGATGAAATGTTAGTAGAATTACTATGAAATTAATGTATTCATATTCATATCATATTCTTTCACAAAATTTCGACTAATGTTGATCTACGTCATACTTTCAATTAATTTAAATTTATTTTTTGACAGTTTGACGACCGTTTAAAAAGAATGCTTTGAATCGACCGCTTCGTTATAATTGATGATCATAAGTTATGAAAGGTATTGAACTCTAAGGACTGACTCCAATCAACAAATATGTCGATTTATAAAAATGAAGACATGTTTATTTAAAGCAGTTAGTTAGAAAAAAAAAGTGGTTTGTATTTTGGTTGAATATTTGGTAGTATCTACGTACATTAATATAGTGTTGGTGTTTTTATTCAAAAAATGGGCATGTGCCAGTGTACACTAATATAATAATGCTAAAGAGTTATTAATCACAGTAGCTCTCCATCAGATTTTACAAATTATTTTTGTATTTGATGAAATATTTATTGTGGAAGGCAAGGCAAGGAAGGAAACATCATGCTACAACTCATAGGAATATTTTTTTTCATACAAAATTAACTATTTTGAGGTAATGGCATGGTGTATATTGTCCAGCGTGAAATTAGTTTTTTCTATCTTTTTCTCCTTAAAAAACAAGAATCAATAAATAGTACCAGATAACAATGCAACAGTTATCCTTTACCAGGACGATTCGTAGTAAAGGTGATATTCCATACGAGTAAACGTTCATAAAAAAGATTTACGTTTCTTTTACAAACAACTCGATACAACTCATGAAGCGTGATTTCCATTCAATCGCTTAATCGCACGTTTCAATCGCAGAACGTCTTTACTATGATTGTAGGTCGTCTTAATATAGAAGCAATTGACGACATAACTGTATAATGTACTTGAGTATGTGAGTGTACACGAGGTTTTGTTATTGACACTCAGTAGACGAACGGAACACTGATTGGAAAATATACGGTTTGTTTGACATAACTTTTTTAAACATCGATCGTTGTGTCTATGGTTCGTTGGATGACAGTTTAGCCTTGAATTACGTATACTTGGATATTGATTTAGTTAGGCGAGGTATATATTTAGTTACGGTATTTATTTACTTACTTTGACATGGGTATTTCAATTGTAACTGAATATCTGCTGTTTCTGTTTTCGATTTTACATTTGACTAAGAGGCAGATTATTGTGATTCTAGACAATAATACTATATGTTCAGTTCTTCTGTTCATGTCTTTTTCATTTTTTAGAATAGATTTATTCGTTCACTAGTAATTATGTAATTAAATTGAACTACAATTAAATTACATAATTACTGGTGATGTTTTACCGTATTCGCATTTGTTGACTGTTTTTACGTGACTAAAACTTACGTAGGTACACTAGTTTTAGATATTTTGAATTTGTATGAATTGTCTAACCGCTAAATCGTAATAAACATATAAACAAATAAGCACTATAACATACTGATGTATTATAAATAACAACTTGATAACTTTCGGTAGAACACAACAATTCAGAGTACGCTCTTCCTCCCCAGTGACACGATACAAATTATGATATTTCCTGAAGCTGGCACATCGCATGTCCTACCTAGGCACAGAAACTAACTGAAGATAATTAAATATTGTGTCGCATTTTCTCTAGACAGCCGAGCAACATATTTAACGTGTGTTGTCAATTATTGTATAAGAATTACGTCATTAAACGGGATCGCGCTATTAGATTTACAAAAAAGACTTGACCGAGGTAATTGCTCAATATTTTACACTGCGTATTTAATTTTATATTAAAATAAAAGAAGTAGTGTAAAAGAGAACAATGATTATAATTGTGCCATCTCGATTTATATCTGTGGTCACAGTGATGTATCTAACCCCCGCAATGGGTCAACAACCTACATGATACATGTCGCACAGTTTATCGTGTAATGGTCCCTCTCATTGTTTTTTTAACGATGAATAAAATTGGCATTGTAAACAATGCTGTTGATTGAGTAAGGCCAAAGTCTATGGTTAACAGACCGATGATATTCTAATTTTGAATTTAGTTTGAAGTTATGTAATTCGTGTAATTACTTATCTATGCAGCCTAATAAAATAGAGCTTGTAGATTTTTTGTGTAATGGTTTGATTGTTTAAGCGCTAGTGTTTGGAACTACTGCTTACTACATTTAAAAATATATTTTTGTATTGGATAGAGTATTCATTGATGAAGGTTGAAAAGCTATGTCTCGCCTCGCTACGACCCTTAAGAGCACAGCAGCTGTGGTTAGTGTCTAATATATTAATAACTGTTTTCAAACAAGTCAACAGTTAAAATAAAATATTTTACATGTTGATATCTGTTAACGTGACTTGAGCGACACATAAGGCGGTATTTATAATGTTCCCCTTAATATAAAAACAACTTGAAATACTCCTTAATAGAGCACAATAGACTTTTGCTTCACGGATGTTAGACGTACCAACTTCTTGGTATGCGTACCATTTTTCAGTATTGTACCATGTACCAACTAAATATTGTGTTGGTACGCAATAATACAAATGATCTATATTGATCACACATAAAAAAAAAAACTTGTTTCTAACAATTTGACTGCCTCGGTGGTGCAGCGGTAACGGATGCGACTGCTGTGCTGAGGTCTCGAGTTCGTTTCCCAGGTCGGACCAAATGTTTGTATGATCTGCTAATATTTGTTTTGGAGTTTGGGTGTTTTTTAGGTATAGTATGTATCATGTGTTTACAAAAAAAAAGTTTATAAGTATTCTGTCAGTCAATCTAGTTTTCATAGTACAAGCTCTGCTTAGTTTGAAACTAGATGGCGTTGTGTGTCAGAT